ATAATATTAGGAAGGTCACAATAATACCTAAAGCAATATTACATATCTCTAACTTATCAATAGTAAAGATAGAAGCAATTTTGTAACTGGATTAATACCTCTAACTTTAATATTAATCTATAATAGTATTAAAATGAAAACATTTACTTTATATTTAAAAATTTTTACATTTTTTTTAATTTGGATATTTCATTGTTTTTACAATGTAAGATAAATTTCATATAAAAAAATACATATGTATATATTTTTTTTCTAACAATTTTTAAAATTTTATTTAATTTATTAATCTAACAACATAAGAAAAATTTTAAATAATTTTTATTTTATCCCATAGTACGATTTCAGTAGCTGTTTTTTTTATAAAGATACGCTACAAATGAAAAACAGATTAAAAGATGAAAGAATGTTGACAGAGGGTGGAATATTGGAAAAAAAACAAACTTGTATTAAGAAAAGTTTAGAACATTATCCATCTAGTGAAGGGGAGTTTAACATTCGAGAGTTTGTTTATTTAATGGACATGTTTATTAAATGTTATAGCAATATTATTCTATCAAGGTCTCAAGAACATGTTTTATTTAAAGAAGAAAATGAAATGAGATATAAATGTAGAGATAAAATATTGAATGCTTATAGAAATAATATTATTGAAGATGAGCTTACAGCGTTATTTAACTGACTCATCAGTATCGTATTACAAATGGAAAAAGAAAAAAATTAATTGATAAAATTTCGAAAAATCTTCATTTATATTATAAAAAAGTTTTATGTCAATATAAAGAAGAAGAAAATAATAAAATAAAAACAAGAAATAAAAAATTAAAAGCTAAAAAATTGGATAAAAATAGACTTTGTTAAACTTTATTAAAATAAAAATTAATATATGAAAAGAAAATACTTAATAAACCATGCACAAGTGCTAGTTAAAAAAATTAATATTTTGCTTTACATTTTTTTTAGTAATATATTTTATTTTCTTTAAAGGAAAAAAATAAAATTATTAAAAGAGAAAAATTTTTTCGGAAGAAATATTTTTATAAGAGTATATTATAATTTTTAGAGTAAAATTTTATTTGTTAGTGATATTAATTTAATTTAAATTTTTTTTGCTTTTTTTAAGAAAAATGAACTTGAGTAAATGAAAATTATTCATTAAAAGTAATAATTGAATATTTTTTACTTAAAAATTAATGTTTAATGAAAATTTCTGTTATTAATAAAAACGTAAGATTTTTATTAAAAATAAATAAATTCTAAATGAGATACATAATTTACATTTTACAGGTTTATAGTATCGAATTTATATTTAAATTCATTAAATTAATAGAGAATGTTATACATTTTTTTTATTAATTTTTCTATTTATTACTTGATATATTAATTACTGGTTCAATGATTTTAGTAATACAGAAAAAACAAAATAATAAAGAACACATAGAGAAAATTTTACTTATTAAATTTTTTATTAGTTAATATATAATACAAATTATTCACTTTCATTAATTAATATATAATATAAATTATTCACTTTCATTAATTAATATAATATAATAATAGAGTTATTGGTTTATTAACTGGGTGTTCAGTGATTTTCCTAGAGTACTAAAAAAACAAAATAATAAAGAACACATAGAGAAAATTTTACTTATTAAATTTTTTATTAGTTAATATATAATACAAATTATTCACTTTCATTAATTAATATAATATAATAATTGAGTTATGGTTTATTAACTAGGTGTTCAGTGACTTTCCTAGAGTACTAAAAAAACAAATTAATAAAGAGTATGTAGAGTTTCTTCTATGATTTGACGTATTTATGTATATTTTTAAATACTTTGATCGAGTGATTCTTAATTATGTTATCTACTTCATTCAGCATTTGGTTAATAAAAGGCTTCATTAACCTTTTTGGTAATAAAAAGAACTAGCTATATGAAAAATACATAGTTGGTTGTGCACAATCGAAAAAAAAAAGTTTAAGAGGGACATGTGTATTTGGTGGGATCTGCAGTTGGATAATATCTGTCTGATTTGAAGGTAAATTGTTATTTGT